CTCTCTCTCTCTCTCTCTCTCTCTCTCTCTCTCTCTCTCTCTCTCTCTCTCTCTCTCTTGTGCGCGCTCTTAGTCTCATTGCTTTGGCTACCTTACGGTTGTGTTCCCCTCGCCACGCGGTAGACTAAGTCTTTCTGGCACACCCCCCATTCCACAATCCTACCTCAATGTCTACCACTCAGGAATGTTACCCTCCAGTAATTATTAAAGCACCAGCACACGGTGTCAAGCGCATCGGTTCCGTGCCACGCAGGGCGGGACCCTCCCGACCGCGTCATGCAGGAGTTGGTCTAATCCTCGTTGCGATACACATGGAGCTTCTGCAAGCCACTCCGGCCGAGTGCGCCAGCCATACCTCTCGCGAGCCCCTACGACAGGATAGGGCCAACACGAGGTACAACTTACCTCCACCTTACAAGAGTTCTCACCTCCCTTCGTTGGGCGTATCCCTGTCGAACTACCAATCCACAGTACGAAAGTTAATCAATTGCAATCGCAGAGGTGGACCAGCCGAGGGTGTTTCTCGTTCGTCGTAGCATAGGGGGTACGCGCGGTCGCACTCTGTCGAGCGCATCAGTCCCGCACCGCGCAGGGCGGGACCCTCCCAGCCTCGTCACGTAGGAGTTGGCCTGATCCTCATCGTGAATACACATGGAGTTTTTGCAAGCCTCTCCGGCCGAGTGCGCCAGCCATACCTCTCGCGAGCCCCTACGACAGGATAGGGCCAACGCCAGGTACAACTTACCTCCTCCTTGCGGGAGCTATCACCTCCGTTTGGTGGGCGTATCCCTGCCGAGCTACCAGTCCACAGTCTGTCTCTTATACACATCTAGATGTGTATAAGAGACAGTCGCATGAGGGGGGGGGGGACGGGGGAGGGGGAGACAGTGCACAGGGGCCGGGGGGGAATCGGTCTGCATCTCCCTGACCGTGGTCCTGCTGGCCAGTGGCCACTCAGTTGTCGTGTTGCTATCATTGCCATCCCATTTTGGCCTGGCAGAGGAGTGGGGAAGCATTCCGCCGGCCGGTACTTCCAACTGTCCTCGTGCGCCAGCCAGTTCTTCCACAACAATTTCCCACTTTCGTGTATTTCCACTAGTTTCTTCTGGGGTCCACCCATAGCTGCGTAAAGACCCTTAAGGCCTGATGTCTACCCTCTGGGTCCGGGGTGACAGCTAGGCGGTCTCCGAGTTTCCTGCTGGCTTGCTGCAGGTTGGCCCTGATTATCTCTGTTAATTCTGCTTAAGGTTGCTAGAAGCCAAAAGCCGCATCTTGTCGCTGCTTAGCACCTCATCCTCCATATGACCATCAAGATGGCTAGTCGCATGTGCTTGAAGAGATTACGTTGAAAGGGCGACCAGGTCGCAGGAATGCTTCTGCGCTCGCCTAGGAGAATGAGGGTGATATTCCACTAAAATGGTGTGCCTGTGAGGGAGTGCCACAAGGCGTCGCATCATTGCCCCACTTTGATGGCCATGGGGCAGGCCAGCAAGCAGTGTTCCAAGTCGGCTCCCCGACTCTGTGCGCCCGGCCCACAATGAGCGCAGACTGGCGAGAGGATCTCTTTTTTGCTCCAAGGTGGAGCGTGAGGCCACCCAGTCCAGGGTTGGGAAGCACCGTTGAGTTATCTACCATTGCCGGGCCCTGTAGGCGGTGGGTTTTATCTTTGCATACATGGCCCACGGGATGCGGCACAGGTAAGTCCGGGGAGTCCCTCTTCCACCGTTTTTGCACGACCGGTGTGGACTGGTGGGTACTATGCACCTACTTATACCCTTCTCTTACTGTGTACTGCCAGACAGGGGTTTGCTTATGTCCCCTCCACTCCCATTCGTCAGGGTCAAAGTCAAAGGTCAGTGCGCATATCAGCATGGACATTTCATTTGCGAAATAGCCTGTATCCGTGTATCATCATCTCCCACCACTCTGATCCTGGTCAGGATTTCTGCGGGGAGTACAGAGTCCAATTTGGGGTTCCTTATCAGCGCCGCCCATCTTGCGCCAGGGACATCCAGTTCAAAGGCTCGTACTTGCACCCCATTAGTTGTCACGCGGTTCAGTCGAAATACAGACATCGGGATGGGCGACAGGCTGCTCTTTGTCACCCAGTCCAGGCTGCGAATCGATGGGCCTTTCCTCAGGGCGGCCACCCATTCGAGCGGGAGAGCCGAGTGTAGCAAGTCCAGCTTTTCTTGGGCTTGCCGAAAGTAACAGACTCAGTTATCTAAGCAGTATTCATAAACTCACTTGCTTAAAATTAAAAAAAAAAAAAAAAAAAAATTCACAGTACGACAAAATATAATTAAAAAAAAAAAAGAAGAAAGAAAGAATGCACAGTGCTTGCTTGCTATAGTTCATATCCGGCACCGCACAGAAAGGTGAAGAGGTGCTGATCCAGTCTCAGGCTCACAAGAAGACTACACGAAACCCATTTCGATTACTCTCTTCAATTACCCTCTATGTATCAAACAAGCTTACTCGTGCACTCGACGGACGCTGGACCCGGTTTCCAGCAGGTGATGATCCCCACCAATAAATGGAGCGGCCAACAATGGGCCTACTTGGGGAGGCTGCTCATATCCTTCCCCCCCCCCCGCCCCCCAGTAGACCTAGTCCAGCCTTAACTTGAACAAAAAAAAAAAAAAAAAAAAGAGACCTACTCGCTTGTTGTCTCGCTTTGCCTTTTGGCTTGCAAACCTGTTCGTTTCTGAGAAATTCTGACTCTTTCTTTCTTTTTTTGACAGTAGTTTTCCAAGTCACAGTTGTCTAAGCGGTATTCACCTACTCACACTTGTCGCCTCGCTTGCCTTTTGGCTGCGCAAACCTGTTCGTTCCTGTTTGTTTCCGACTCTTTCTTGTTGTGCGGTTCCAGCAAAGTGGGATCTGATGGAAGACCATTTATACCAAGCATTCTCAATGTACAAGGCACTTCAAATGCCAAGTGAGGTAGACAAGTGTGATTGCGTCCGAGCGATGGGTTTTCTGTTCCAAGGACAGGAGGAAGATTGTCGGCAGATTGCATCCAAGCTAATCAGTGTGCAAAAGAACCATCCGGAGCTCAGAGTCTGGGGTCTCTGCCTGCTCATGGCAGCAGCCAATGCTGCCGGACAGTATGCTGAAACAATTGCTATGTACAGAGAATGGGAGAGAGAGGCGCACACAGTGCCTGAATTGGAGTGGGAGGTGAGTGCACTTGACCTTGTCGAGTCAAGTAAAGTTGTTATTATTATTATTATTATTATTATTATTATTATTATTATTATTATATATGTGGAGGTCAGACTCTGGACATATGACAGTCACCTTCGATAATCAACCATGTGGCTATCTCGATGGTCCATATAGAGGCCCCTATTCCTATGAGACTCCCTCCTGACCTACCACACTCGTAATTCGCAGCCCTAAGGCTGCGGTATAGTGGGCTTCGGAGTCTGTGCCAAGGTGTCGCATTTTTGGCGGCGGGAGACGAGGACGCAAACTGGGTTCTTAGGGGGCAAAAAAAATTGGGGGACCGGTCCTTGGCAAAATTGCGGACTACCTACAGCTAGCTCTGGTAGAACCGGGACTTTTGGAAAAAGGAAGGACCGGTCCTTGGGTGGAAGCGGACCCCAAAAAGAAGTGAGGGCATGTGAACTGCAAAAGGGCCCTCAGGCCCAGGCGTTGAGGCCCGTCCTCTGAAAACAGGGAGGTCAGGCGCAATGAAACAGGCATTTTGCAAGAGGCAACTTTGGCAATTTTCTGTGCTCGGAGGAACCCACAGAAAAATCTGACATTTTGAGACTCCATAGATGAGGTCGTGTTCTTTCCAGGAAAAATATTTCAAAGAATCATTTAGACTGCAAAATAATCATCGCGCCGATTCAGCACATTTTCCATTTTTGCTGCTCGGCCATGTGTGGGCCAACTGAAAAAGTACTCCAAATTCAGTGAGTTTTCGCGCTAAGAAGAATGCATGGAAAAACCTGAAAATTGGAGTATTCATATATTTTGTTGTGATCTTTCTAGGAAAAACGCTCAATAAAATGTTAAAAAGTATTCCAACTGTGAAAAAGATCACGGCCGCAATTTGACCCATTTTTCAATTTTGCCATTCAGCCTCTCTCTCTCTCTCTCTCTCTCTCTCTCTCTCTCTCTCTCTCTCTCTCTCTCTCTCTCTCTCTCTCTCTCTCTC